CTCTCCTCCCAATATAAAAAAAACCCTTAACAGTGTCACCACAAAACCACTGTTGCGAAAAGAGTTTTTCGGGGTAATTTTTTGTGTGCTGGAAGTTTGTTGAAGGAAAAAAAAAATCTCTCCTAAGGGTCTGGACTGGCTTATAGAGCTCTTTCTGAACCATGAAGACGGAGTTGATGTGCATGTATTGCTCCTGTTGATAGGACAGAGAGAAAGGGGAGGAGAGAAGAGCAGGCTGAACATGTGCCAAGAAAGGCAAGCTTTACTCGAAGCATTCCAGCTCGTGAGAGAGACTTCAGTCCAAAGAGAGGAGAGCAAGGGAAGGGAATTTTAAACTCTGATCTGGGAGCTAAATGAAAAGGCTGGAATGGCTGCAAAAAGCAAACAAATTAAGGCTGCTAGCAGGAGAATGGAGAAAATGTTCCCAAAGCACGGGCCCTTGAGCTAATCCATCCTTACGACATTCTCAGAAAGATGGAGCTCTCCTTTCCGGTCAGTGTCATCTTGTTGTCGAATATGCTCCAGTCATCTGATAACATGAGAGGGCAGGTAGGGAGAGAGAGAGAGAGAGAGAGAAAGTGAGAATATTAATTTGGTCTCTGAGTATTTCTGCCAGCATTTCCCTTTCAAGGATTTTCCGGGAGTTATTCCTTTCTCAAACTTGGCTTGGATCATTCCAATCCTTTTAATCCCACGTTTTCTTAAAAAAAAAAAAAATTGTTTATGACACACTTAGATTCTTTAAACATCTGACTCAAAAGTTTGATTGATAGAGCATAAACCAAATGGGATGAATTTTGATTTGAGAAGATAGATTCTTTAAGGGAATTGGGCCAAAGATTACAGCCAGGAGAAAGGAAAATAGTTTCCTAGAAAGAGCACTTGCCTGGGAATCAAGAAACTCACATTTTTCAGAATAAGATTGGGTGGTGATGGTAAGAGTGAGGTAGGGGATGGGGGTGAGAAAGGGGGACCCCATCACAAGGTTGAATATATAGCCCCCCAAGGGGGATGGATAACAGAAAAGTGGGTGAAGGGAGACAACAGACAGTGTAAGACATAAAATGACAATAGTAATATATAATTGATCAAGGATTCACAAGGGTGGGAGGGAGGGAAAAAAGAGCTGATACCAAGGGCTCACATAGAAAGAAATTGTTTTGGAAATGTTGGCAACATATTTTCAAGAGTGCTTAATACTATTGAATGATGGATTGTTATAAGATTTTGAAGACAAAGCGGGTGAATAAGCAACTGTGGTGAAGAAAGCTGACGGTACCCGGCTATCAAAAGATACAGCGTCTGGGGTCTTAAAAGCTTGAAGGTAAACAAGCGGCCATCTAGCTCAGACGAAACAAAGCCCAC